ACAAGTGTGGCTCTATGGTAGTGTTTGCCTAGCACTAAGAAAGCCCTGGGCTCCATCCCTAGCCCTGCATAAAATAAGTGTTAGCACAGACCTGTAATCCCATCACTCAGGATATGGAGGCAGGGGAGGGGGCGTCGAAGTTGAAAGTGATCCTGTGCTATAAGACAGTCTCAAAAAATTTAAATTTAATTCAAAAAGTAATGAAAGGCTTTGCCTTTTCAGGAAAACTATGGGTCGGAAACTTTGCCCAGAAGTATGCCCAACTCTCTAAGTGTCCTCACCTCCAAGCCATCTGAACCTTCATCCTGGAACACCTAGATACAGTCCATTTTGGCCCCATTAAAAGAGCAACCTCTCTCCAGGCCCCAAGACTGCCTTGGCAATTATCACAGATTTAGGAGGGCTCAATCTCACCAGGCACTTGTTCATGTGTAACTTCACTTAGTCTCCAGTAAACCTGGACCATTACTCCAGCCACTCACGGGAGCTAAAACTCTCTGCAGTTGCAGTGAGTAAATGGGAAGACAAAATTCAATCCAGCTGTCTTTCCTTCCTTTCTTTTTCCTTTTGCTTTCTTATAGTGAAACAGGGTTTCACCAGGCAGCCCAAACCCTCCTAAAAGGCACCACCCTCCAGCCTCAGACTTCTCTGGGTTCACAGCTGCAGACATGGCCACACTGCTCCACCTCTCCCCTTCCTGCTCTGATCTCTCCACACTGGACACCAGGCTGCTGCCAGGACCCAGCTGACTCTCTCGGTCCTCCGAACCGATTCCCAGAAGTTCAGAACCCAAAACAGACCACCCGGGCCCTGGCTGGCTCCCCAGGCCGAGGCTAAAATAACTTTGATGATTACTAGTCAAACTGGCGTTTATGGAGGGCGCCCAGTGTACCATTTCCTGCAGTCCAGTTCCCCACCCCCACACACATCAAAGCCACCAGCTGCCCACTCTGCTGCCCACAGCCTGGCATTAGTATCTGTCTGTTCCCGGACAGACAGATTGCCTTCTAAAGAACACGACCAGTGGGTGCCCTCAGTTCACTGGCTCTACCCCTGCAAAACAGAATTTTTCAACACAGAAATGGGGTCCACCTGTGTCCATCTCCCCAGCAACCTTTCATCTGCCGTGGCCACTGAAGCTAATGCACCCCATGAAGTGCCCCTTCGGTTCCACCACCCCCACTAACAATTTTCAAGAGACCCAGACCTACAGATCTTCCTATCTCCCAAAAAACAAGTTACCTGGCTTTCACCTTCTGTTGACCAGAGAAGCCCGAGTGGGTAAAATCTCTAAGTTCTTCCCCAGAAATACCCTGCCAAAAAGGCGCGCTCCACGTTCTTCTGCTACTGAACTTTGCTGTGGAATTCCTCGCCACCCGCAAACTGGACACCACGTCCTACGCTTTCCTGCCTACTGCCTCTGACCCGCTTTTCCCAGTTCGAGGGTTTACTTCTCGACGCAGTCCAGTGCCAAGACAGCAATGGCCAGAGCCACCCTTTGCCTCGCTCGAGGTTTGCAGACCAGCAGCTTCACTCTCGTCACCCCGTGGACCCAGAGACACTTACCTTTTCCCCAGTTCTGTGGACCGGCTCTCTCCATCTATCCCTGGATGTACTCTGAACTCAAAGGCTGGCTGCTAGCCTCCCAAAGTCCCAGATGGTCAGGGTTTGAGAACCCAGTCCCGTGCATCTTCCCAACTCTCCCTCCAAGCCTGCCCCGTCACCAGCTCTAACCTAGACACCGCTGTCTCCGTGCGCCACCTCCGTGCCGGTCAGCGCTGTCGCGGTCCCACCCGCCCCTCGGTTCGTCCCCGCAAGCGACCCTCGCCGTAGCTACCGTGTCTCCAAGGGTCTTTGGGCTCCACCGCTCCGGACACGATGTCCTCGTCCGACGGAAACGTGACGCGCTTGGCTGCAGCCTTGAGTCGCCCATCGGCCGGGGGCGAGGCCGTGCTAGGAGACCCGGCTTCGGCTGAGGCCTCCTCAGCTTCGGCGTCCGCGTCGGCGTCCGCGCCCGGCCCGGGCGGAGCCTCCTGCGGCGGGATTTCCATCGCCGCCGCCTCCTCCTCACGGGGGCCCCGGGGACATGCCCCGGGCCCCGGACTCGTCTCTCCGGGTCCGCCCGCCGTTCCGGGGCATGGGCTTCGCCGCTGCCTCAGGCGCCGCCTCCGTCCGCTCCTGTCGTAGTCGTCGTCGTCGTCGTCGCCGCCGCCGCCGGGAGCCCCAACGCGCCTCTGCCTAGCTCCGCGGGTACCTGCTCGTCCGCAGCCACACTTTCGTTACAGTCCGAGGCGACCGCTGCGTACCGAGAAAAGCACAACACAGACTCAAGCTTTTATTCTGAAAGGATCTTTAAGAGAGAGACACGACGATAGAAACAAAGAGCAGTAGGATCCACGGGAAAGAGAAACGTGAGCAACGAATCTGCAGAGGCAGAACTGCAGAACACCAGGGGCGGGGCCAGGTGGACGCCGTCTCCCGGAGCAGCGCGCATGCGCGAGTCTCAGACACCCCCCCCCTTCAACCTGTCAATACTCAGGCTCCCGGACATTCGTCCAGGAGCCCTAGTAATTCGGGAATTAATTCGATAGAAATTGTATCACCGGGGCCTGCAAAAGGACTGTCAGTTGTTAATGCCATCTGAGTTCGATACCCAAAACCCACGTAAATGTGGAAGGAAAGAACCGCCTCCACCAAATTGTCCTCTGATCTTCACACGCACGACCGTAAGAAATAAAGAAAATTTGAAAATATAAATTAAGAACCAGAAACATTGATTTTAAAAAAACCCAACTACCTTCTGGGCATGGTAGCGGCCAGCCTGTAATCCTAGTTTTGGAGAGGCTGAAGCAGGAGGTTGAGAGCTCGAGGCCAGATCAGCAGGCGCTCGAGAGTGAGACCCTGGCGCAGCTGCCAATGCTGGGAGCTGGGTAAAGGACTGGGGGCATTCAAAGGCCATAAAAGCTGCGTACTACAAGATGAGCACGCACAAGTGACAGAAGCTGACGGATAAGATCTCTGTCCCCTTGCTTTCCATTTGCAGACTTTAATTTCACTGTCTCGTCAGACTTGTAGCACATGTAAATCACAATATGAAAACACGCGTCTGTGGGGGTATTCATGAACCTGATTAAAACAAAACAAAATTGGAAGACATTCTGAAGAGGTAAGTCAGCAGACCCAAACCTGAGCAAGCCGAAGCCACGCCTCCAAGGAATGATACCAAAGCTCAGGATTTGTCTCAGTACTTTCGCTCCGCCTTCCCAGCCCGGGCTCATGAGACTAAAACCAAAGAAGGGGATCCAGGGAGGAGCGAACACGGCATTGCCAAGACTACTAGGGAGCTAAGCAGGCACTGACAGGAAGCGGCGCTGTGAATAAGGGATAGAGGCTGAGGCTGCCGCTAAAGATAACTGCTTTCCTGTTCAGTTGTGGGTGCCTGCATTTTGGAGACTGAGAAGTACCAAAAGCCCCTACAATTAATGTATTCTTCATTTACTTGAACTTAAACTAAAAGGCATAAACTGGGTTTTATTTGTTGCGAGGTTCTCACCTAACCCAGGTTATCCTCAGACTCGCTATGAAGGAAAGACTGTCCTTAACTCCGGCTCCTCTTACTTCTACACCCCTCCCCATCCCAAGTGCTGGGTTTGCGGGCATGCCCATATGCCCAGATAGGGACTGCTTTTGAATACCATCTACTGAAAGATTTCTAGTGACAAGAGACTGAAACGGGCAACACAGACTGCCTCACCAGCAGGCTGGAGCACACTGAGTAAGGGTGCTAACTGGCGAATGTGCAACACTTGTCACGCAGAAGCGTGTGAACACCACCACCACTGCTGTCCCCTGCTGTGGGAAACCAAAAACTGCTGCTTACTGCAGCAGACCACATCGCCCTGGGCCAGGAGCCCGAGAGGCACAACCTTGGGAGGAAAGGGAAGGCTTCTTCGTGGTAAAGAGCCACCCTTGCCAATCTCTTGTTCAGAGAACGTCGACCATTTAGGGAGACCAGGAGCAGTGCATCTGCTTTCAGCTGGATCTCTCACCATCATGGCTGAGCCCCACAGGTTTTACCTTACCTTTTGTTGTTTTTTGGCAGCAACTGCTGCTGTTACTACATGGGAGGGGGTGAGATAGGGTTTTTCTGGGTAACAGCTCTGGCTGTCCTACAACTCAATCTGTAGATGAACTCAATCTGGCCTCGAATTCACAGAGATCTACCTGCCTCTACCTCCTACTAACTTTTAAATACTACTCCAGGAAAAACAGCTCAGCAGTTAAGAGCACTTGCTACGCTGTTCCAGAGAAGCTGAATCCTGTCCTCAGCACCCATGTCTAGCAGCTCCTGCTGACTAGACACCCTCATCTGACCTCTATACTCACCTATACTCACGAAACACAGACATAACATCTAAATTTTAAAATTTTAAAACAAAAAAATGTTAAATATGGGATTCTCCTTCACAGGACACAACTAAAGGATAAACAGAAAATCAAGGTAGCCTGACTCAAAATCTCAGCACTTGGGAGGAGACAGGAGGATTGCGAATTACAAGCCAGCCTGGACTACAGAGCCAGATCCAGTCTTAAAAAAGACTGGGGGTGGGGTGGGAAGATAGTTCAGCAGTTAAAAGCACTGGCTGCTATCACAGAGGTTCCAGACAGTGGCTCTCAACTGTCTCTAACTCCAGCTCCACTGAACTGGGCCCCTCTTCTGGCCTCGGCCGGCATTGCATGCATGAGATACACAGACATCCATGTAAGCATAACACCCACACACATATACTAAAATTTCAAAACTAAAATTTCAAAAAGAAACAAGAGCCAGGCAGTGTGGCTCATGCCTTTAATCTCAGCACTCAGAGGCAGACAGATCTCTGAGTTGAAGGCCAGCCTGATCTACAGAGTGAGTTCCAGGACAGGAAGGGCTGTTACCGAGAAACCCTGTCACTAAAAAACAAAAATAAAATAGAGAAAGAAAGAAACAAGAGCCAGAGTTCCTTGGACGATGGTTTCTTTGGCAGGAGGGGAGATGGAGAAGCAGCTTCAGAGCTCTTTAGTGCCTGCCCACCTCCCACACCCACCCTGGCCTTAGGGACTAGCCTTGGGGCCCTATGGCTGTAAAGTTCAGTGTTCTGAGGTAGAATGGTACTTTTAATAAATGAGATTAGAATGTATGTAGTCTTCTCCCAATGCAGCATGAACTGGCCTTGAATTTCCAATCTTCCCATTACAGCCTCTAGAGAGCTGGGATTATCAGCGCAGCACCGGGTGTCTTGTTTGGAGTGAAGCTAGAGTTCCCTGGAGCTTGATCTGGAAGTCTGGGAAGGTGTGAAGAGCTCTGAGGCCCAGGAACAGCTGGAGACCTGGGCTACTGTGGCAAAGCCTACAAGGGAGACACCCATCTTCACAGCTTGAAGGAATAGGAAATGATGTCACTACATCGAAGCAGGGCTTCTGCCTGCACGCCTATGGGAGTCTGCAGCTGGGACACGTAGAAGTTGGCTACATCCAGGTCTGTGGCTCCAAACTGAGCGGTCACATGCACACCTTCATGCAGCGTGAAGCTCACAGGGTGCCCCACCATGGCTAGGAGGCTGCGGAGGTAGCGCTCTCGGAGAGCAGCTCTGGCCCGCTGTTCCTGCAATTCTGGGGGGTCTTGAGGGTCTTGAATACGACCTTCTCCTCCGACTTCTGGAACTTTTGGCCTCGGGAGGGTCCTGCGTCCATCAGGGACAAAGCCTCGGCTAAAGCCATCGGGGCCCCGAGGGAGGCGGAGCACTGGCACTGGCATAGGAATGGGCATCGGGGTCTGCATGGCCCTGGCTAAGGAAAAACATAGAAGGGGTTAAGGCCACACAGCTCCAATAGAAAACAGACTCATGTTTCACCTCTACACCATAGCTCTACTGTTTAAAACTTGTGCCAACCCCCACCCCAGGTAGGGAATTTTGTCTGTTGTTAGATGGTTTTGGAGACAGTATCCTTGCTAAGAGCTCAGACTGACCCTGAAAATACAGGCACCCTGCCTGCCTCTTAGGTGCTCAGCAGGTTTGTGACACCAGATGGGGCTCTTTTGCCTTTTTTTCTTTTTTTTTTTTTTTTTGCCTTGTTTTTCTTTGTGAGAGAGGGTCGTTAGCCACACTGGTCTTCCTGTAGCCCAGGATAACCTTGAACTTCTGACCCTACTGCCTTGACCTCCATGAGCCAGGATTACAGGCTTGCTTTATGCTTTACCACATTCAGTTTATGGCATGCATGCTAGGAATGGTAGTCAAGGTTTCCTGCGTGAGAGGCAAGCTCTCTACTAACTACACTGCATCCCCGTCTTTTCCTGTCTACCTCTATTACAGCTTTCTATGATTCTGGGGATAAGTCATTAAGAAGAGTCCCAGCCTCTCTGAGATACCGCCTCTCCAGTCTAGCCTCACTCAGAGGAATAGTTACACACTGCAATAATATATGAAGGCAGGCTGGGCTTAAAGAGATTGTCAAATTTTTTTTTTAGTGTTTGCAGTGTCTTGGGTTTTGTGGGTGTGTCACGGTACACACGTGAAGTGAAGGTAAGGTCAGAGGAGAGGTCGCAGGAGTCACTCCACTGCGTGAGTCCCAGGGAGAGGACCACATGAGAGCTGTCAGCTTGGTGGTGAGTGCTTTTACGCGCAATGAGCCACCTTGCTACAGGAACAAGGCTAGCTGTCCCTTTGCTAGGTCCAGACTGTCAGAGGTCAGAGAAAGACTGCTAGAGCAAGCATTTTCTCCTCAGCCAGTTCTGTTAACAGCCTGGGCCCTGAATATTCTGGACACAAGGTGGGACTTGACTTAAGAAACAAAAACTGGAGGCAGGCAGATCTCTGTGAGTTCGAGGCCAGCCTGGTCTACAAGAGCTAGTTCCAGGACAGGCTCCAAAGCTACAGAAAAACCCTGTCTTGAAATAACCAAAAAAAAAAAAAAAAAGAATGAAAGAAAAAGAAACAAAAACTGACTTAAGAGCTAAGAATATTGCCCAGTAGTAGTGGTGCACAACTTTAGTCCCGGGACTTGGAGGCAGAGGCAGGCAGAACTGTCTGTGAGTCCCAGGCCAGTCTGGTCTACAGAGTGGTTTCCAGGACAGCCAGGGATACACAGAGAAACCCTGTCTCGGGGGTGGGGGGTGGGAGGTAGAGAGCACTGGCTGTTCTTCCAGAGGACCTGAGTTCAATTCCTAGCACCCACATGGCAACCCACAACTGTCTGTAACTCCAGTACCAGAGGTCTGGCACCATCACACAGACACACATGAAGGCAAAAACACCAATGTATATGAAACAGTTTTTTAAAAAGCTACGAATATTGCTCAATTGGGCCCAGTGCTTGCCTAATATACAGGAGGCCTTGAATTCCATCCCCATTACCATATAAACACCAAACTCTTGTGAAGATGAAAAGTTCAAGGTCTATAAAACAATTTGTAGATCAACTTGGGTTACAAGATACCCTGTGTCAAACACACAAAAGAATTGGAACCCCTACCACGTTCCACTCTTAGAGAGAGAAAAAAAAAGAAAAACGAAACAGCAACAACCAGGTGGTGGTGCACACCTTTGATTACGGCACGTTTGATCCCAGCACTTGGGAGGCAAAAGTAGGGATTTCTGTGAATTCGAGAACAGTCAGGACTGTTACACAGAGAAACCCTGTCTCGAAAAAACAAAAAGGGAAAAAAAGACAATGAAAAAGAATTGAGAGAAGTAAGGAAGATTATGCTCTAGTGTCTAGTAAAGACACCTAAAATTACCCATCTTCCCTGTTGGCCTGACCTCAGAGTTCTTGATCCAGAGATCCTGGATTTCCTGCCCAGAGGTTAAAATCTAAACCCATCCATCCCACTGTCTGGCTATTCCGTCCCATGACTTTGGTCAGTGAAGAGGTAGCAGTTCACAGGTCTTTCCTTGGGGCCTCAAGGCGAGCAGAGCTAGGCGTAGTGGCCAACACCTATAACCCCAGAACTTGAGCAATGGAGACCGGGAACACCTCCGAACAAGGCCAGCCTTTGCTAGTGGAGAGTTCTACAAGCAGCCTGAATTACGTGGGAAGGGGACAGGGAGTGGGGACGGGGAAGGGTGGAAGTATAGCTCAAGTGGTAGAGGACTTGTGCAGCAAGCATTAAACGAGTTCCATCAATAGTTTAGCATAAATTGTGGCAGAGCAGGCCTGTAATCCCAGCACTTGGCAGGTGAAGACGGGATGAAAAATTCAGGGGCTACTGTTCTGCCTCCTATCTAAAGAAAGAAAGAAAAGAAAGAAAAGAAAAGAAAGTTAGTTAAAGAGGAATAGGTCAGCTTGGCGGCAGGCATTAGGTCCACCTAGCGTTATCAGGATAGTAATTGGCTGAGCTTCCAGGCTAGGAGGCACGTACTTATATGTTCACGCACACCAGGAGATAACTGTCCACTCCCGCCGCCCAGCAAATTCGATAAACTGGGCCATTTCAGAGAATAAGCAGCCGGAGGGCGGATTTGTTCTCTCCCAGGCGCCGGTGGGCAGGTCAGTTCCTTTAAATAATTCCCTCCAGCCGCCGACTGTCCTCCCTTTCTAATTCTAAGCGTGTCCTCAGCCCCAGGGTAGCCACCTCCCACCCCGCCCGGCGTCCGAGCACAGTCCCCCTTCAGGTCACCTCCTCTGGGCAGCTGCACCGCAGGCGGCTGACAGGCTCAAGGCCATTGCGTACTCACCCAGGTAGTGGCTGAAGGCGCCGCACTTCCGCCCACGCCGCCGCCACCGCACAGGTCCCGGCAGGCACTCAGCCCGGACCGCCTGGGTTCCGCCAGCGCAGTCGCCGACGGGTCCGGGTGGGCACCGAGTCCCACGCGCTTGAGTTCCGCCAGCGCCGCCGCTTCCCCCACGTGTTGGTCGGCCACTTGTGGGGCGCCGGGCCACGGCTGGGCTCTGCCAGCCTGCGAGTTAGGGACATCTAAGATGCCCACTTTAGGGAGCACGAAACTGAAGCTCAAAAAGTTGGCCATGGTGGTTCCCAGGCTTGGAATCCCCAGCGCTCTCGGGAGATGAGGCAGGAGGATTGTTAAGATCTGTCAGCCTGGGCTACCGAGTTAAGGCCTTGTCTGAAAAAGGTTGAAAAAAAAAGAAAAGTAAGGAAGGATCTGACACCTTCACACCAATGCACATAAAATAAAGTTAAATAAAAAATAAATAAATAAAAATTTTAAAAAAAGAAAAAGAAAAGGAAGAAAGGAGAAACGAGTAGTGCCTCGTGCCTGTAATCTCAGCACTTGGGAGCCAGAAGCAGAAGATTTCAAAAGTTCAGGATCAGCCTGCGCAAAAATGAATGAATGAATGAAAAAAAAGGGAAAAAGGAAGAAGAAAGACAAAAGGAGGAAAGAAAAGAAGGAGATGGCAGCAAGCTCAGGAGGCAAAAAGAAAAAAGCCAAGGCTCTGCCGCCATGGTCTCTTTAATCCCAGCACTTGGGAGGCAGAGGCAGCCAGGACTGTTACACAGAGAAACCATTAAATAAATAAATATAAATAAGTACATGCCAAGGCTCAGAGACTAGATTTTTTCTCAGCCACTTGGGAAGTACTCCTGTCCCTCCACTCCCCTTCAGGAGGAACCCTATTATTCTCTCAGCCTTCACAGACCCTGAAGAGGGTTTACAGTGTGCTGCCTCTTGGATGGACAGAGGTCATTCATCTTGTCCTTTAGCCCTTCCTGCAACCCTAATTTACAAAGTGAGAAAAAACGAGGTCCTGCAGGGGAGAATGGGAAACCTCACTGATCTCAGTCCTGGTAGAATTGATTTTATTCCCAGAGTTCTGCTGAGGTAGGGGAGGACGGTGGCATTCCCATTACTGCCTGGCACACAGGTGCTCTGCAGATATCCCTGGAAAGAGTGCTCCCTCCTCACATAGCTGGTGATTAAAGCAAGAAAGTAGAAGCCGGGTACTGGGGTGCCTGCCTGTCTTAGTTACCAGGGAGGCCAAGATGAAAGATTTCTGAAGCAGAATCAGAGAGTCCTATGTCACTGAGAAAAAGTAATTAAAGAATAGAAGCTCTCCTTAGGAACTGGTCACCCCAATCTTGCTCTCTCAGAACCTGCATTCGCTTTTGAATTGGGGAAGTAAAAGAGGCTAAAAGTGAACAAATAAACAAACCAAAATTGTTGGGCAGTGGTGGCTCACGCCTTTAATCCCAGCACTTGGAGGCAGAGGCAGGTGGATCTCTGTGAGTCTGAGGCCAGCCTGGTCTACAAAGCAAGTTCCAGGAAACCCTTTCTCAAAAAAAAAAAAGTAAAAATAAACCAAGATCTTTCAGAGGGACTGGGGCAAGATTTGGTTTGGCTTACTTAGCATGACAAGACCCTGGGTTCCATCCTTAGCATAAGAGGAAGAAAAAAAAAATCTAAATTGTACCTGATGCTTGGTGAAGCTGAAGCAAGAGGATCTCTGGTTGAAGGCTAGCCTGTGCTACAGAGCATGGACCTGTTAGAACAGACAAAGGGAGAAGGATATGAGACTGGGCATATACCTCTGTGATAGGGCACGGGGCTAGCAATTGCAAGGCCCTGGGTTCTAGTCCCTTACATCCTTCACAAAGGAGACAATAAGGACAATAGGAATAATCTTAACAAGTTAAGAAAGGCTTAACATTCAGTGATCAAATGGGGCATCTGCAGAGGGAGAATCGGTGTGAATTTGGAGCCAGCCTGGGAGAAAGGAAATGAAGAAAGGAAGGGAGGGAAAGAAAGAAGAAACAGGAGTGGGGGAAGGAAGAAAAGAAAAAAGAGAAAGGAAGGAAGGAAGGAAGGAAAGAAGAAGGAAAGAAAGAAAGAAAGAAAGAAAGAAAGAAAGAGGGAGGGAAGGAAGAGAAATACCAGATGTGATGGTGCACACCTTTTTGGATTTTTGTTTGTTTGTTTGTTTTTGTTTTTTGAAACAGGGTTTATCTGTAGCTTTGGAACCTGTCCTGAAACTCAAACTGTAGAACAGGCTGGCCTGGAACTCACAGAGATCTGCCTGTCTCTGCCTCCTGAGTGCTGAAATTAAAGGTGTGCACCATCAACCAGGTGGTGGTGGTGGTGCACGCCTTTAATCCCAGCACTCAAGAGGCAGAGGCAGGCGGATCTCTGAGTTCTAGGCCAGCTTGGTCCTAGGACAGCCAGGGCTACATAGAGAGACCCTGTCTCAAAAACAAAAACAAAAACAAAAAAAACCCTAACCTTCACACCTCTCAAAAAAAAAAAAAAAAGGAAGAACTGGCAAGATAGCTCAGTGGATTAATATTAATGAGCTTGCTGCCAAACCTAAGGACTTGAGCCCACATAGGAAGGAAAGGGACTGGACACCTGAAAATTGTCCTTTGACTCCCCACTTGCATGCTGTAGCGTATACAAACACACGAGAGAGAAAACACATAGATACATTTTGAATATAGAATAATAAATAAATTGATTTAATAATTATGGCACAAGCCTTTAATCACAGCATTTGGGGAGGCAGAGGCAGAGGCAGAGGCAGGTGATTTCTGTGAGTTCGAGGCCAGGCTCCAAAGCTACACAGAGAAACCCTGCCTCAAAAATAAGTAAACAAGTACATAAATAAATAAAATAAAGTCACCTTTGGTGACTCTCCAGGCCCTACAACGTCTAATTCTCTTAGGAAACTGAGATTGAGAAGGAATTAGGAACAGATGGAGGTCATCAGGAGTAATTTGCAAGGCCTTCAGCAGGGTGTGGCTACTTTAGATAAACTGCCCAGGGAGGTCCTGGGCCTGCAGGAGGACAATTGAGTCCATGCCTGAATAACAATGTGAGGGACTTCAGAGTTCAGCCTCAGGACACCTGGGGCAGGCACTACTGGCCTTAACCTAGGGGAGTTTGTAATAGGTGTGTGGGGGAGGACAGTAAACAAGCAGTTCTGTGGTGACCTGTGGTGTGCCAGGAAGAAAAGAAAACCTCATATGTGATTGAGAGTGGGGCAGCGTGTCCTGCCACTTCCAACAGTGCAGCAGAAAAAAATTCTTGTTTGCCGGGTAGCAGTGGCTCACGCCTTTAATCCCAGCACTTGGGAGGCAGAGGCAGGCAGATTTCTGTGAGTCTGAGGTCAGCCTGGTCTACAGGGCAAATTTCAGGACAGGCTCCAAAGCTACAGAGAAACCCTGTCTCGAAAAAAAGGAAAAAAAAAGGAAAAAAAATTCTTATCTGAGAGAAATTTCAGGGGCCCAAGAGAAAGGCAGAGGACTGCTGGCCATTTCTTTAGTTTTAATGGTAGCCTGGGGTTACAAAGAAAGCAGAGGTGGATGATTACTGCTTCTTCGTTTGACTCAAATCCTCGCAGCCCCTGGTACCAGGAGAAGCAACAAACCTCAAAGTTACCAAAAGACCTTTCCGGGTGTGTTCCCTCTCCTTTAGTCCTGAATGCTCAGGCTCTTGGCTCTCAGCTCCCTCACAAACCTCAGATCTTCAGATTGATCGGAGACAAGATCTCCCCAAGTAGTATCCCAGTTGGCCTGGGGCTCATTATGTAGACCAGTCTGGTCAGGAACTCTTGGTCAATCCTCCTGCCTCTAACTCCGAGTGAAGCACTTGAGATTACACAGTGTACCACCACCAAAACCAGCTTTTTTTTTTGGTCAGAGTTTCAAACTCCCCATGTAGTTGACGGACACTGATTTTAAACTGCTGATTCTGCTTCCACACTGCATATGTTGAGTTTGCAATGGCTACCTCTGCTTTCCAAGGTCTCCATACTGCCCTGCGTTCTCATTCCTGGTACAGAGTAGGAAGCCGAATCCCTTTTTTGGGTGCAACCCTGCCCCCTTGCCCAGCTTGATTTTTTTTCCCACAGCACTTGTCCAAACATACAGCATTCCATATACTATGAAATAATCCCAGCTGGCTTTGAATTTGTGATCCTCAGTGGGTAGCTTGAATTACCAAAAGACCCACACCCCCATCTCCACATCGTAAGATTATGGCACGGTTTCTTCACTTCTGTTACTGTAGGTGCTCAGAAATGGGGTTCCAAAGTCTGGAGATGTAGCCCAGTGACCTAGAATGCACATTCTGGGTTCGATGGCCAGCACCGCATAAAATAGGTGTAGTGATGTATTCCTGTAAAACCGACGCTGGCGAGGCTGGGGCAAGATCAAAAACTCTAAGGCATCATCCGTTACTTGTTACTTATCCAGTTTGGGGTCAGCTTGGGCTACTCAAGGGCTGTCTTAGAGAAAAAGGCAAAAAAAAAAAAATTGAAAAGAATGGAAGATGAATGTTTAAAGAGCGAATTTTCTTCTCATCTGCTAAGAGGTGTTCACCATTTCTCGTTTGGGGTATGAGGCGAGACATCCCGAATCTCAGGTATCACAAGCGCTGTGGTGGTTTTGGAAACAGCTCTTTCCACTGGAGTGAAATCGACTCCCGCGGAGGGGGGGCGGATAGTATGCTCACTCACCCCGGGGCAGCGGGCAGGGCCGGGAAGGTCGGGTTTGGCCGCCGTGACTGGCCTTGCAAGGCCCCGCCCCAATGGGCGGAGCCACCGCAGGATCAGCACGTGTAAAAAGTTCGGCGCGGGTCTCCGCAGGCCACTCACCTGAGCGTCCGGCGGCCCAGCGGGTTCTCTGAACCTGCGCCTTTACTCCATGTCCCGCCGCAAGGCCGGCTACGTGCCGCGCCGTGTAGACCCCAAACCCGACCAAGACGACATGGAGACACCAGAGCTCGTCATTGATGTGAAGCCAGAGCGCGATGCGGGGCCCTTGGCCCCGAAGGACGCGTCCATGCCGGGGCCCCTCGGTACCGAGCGTCGTTTCGGCACTGCCCCGCTGCCCCTCGGCGCGCGCAGTCCGTGGGCCCCGTGGATACCGCTGAGCCCTGAACCTTCCGGTGAGTCCCCAGTCCTCCTCCCTGTGCGCATCGGGACCGTCCGGTGGGTGTCTCTCTGCCCCGGGACTCGCCTGGTGTCCCTAGCCCTCGCCCCTGCGTGTATCGAGACCCTCGGGTGGGTACCTCTCTGCCTCGGGACCCGCCTGGCGTCCCCAGCCCTCGCCCCTGCATGCACCGGAACCCTCCGGTGGGTACCTCTCTCCTTGGGATGGCCCCGGACGGCCTGGCCTCCCCAGCCTTCGCTTTTGACCTCCGGGTTTCCCCTCCCTCTCCACCTTGGTGCTCTCACCCCTAGCCGGGCCCCACCCCACCGCTCACCACCCGCTTCCTCCCTGTAGACCGCCAGCCCTGGACCGACAAGCACCCAGATCTGTTGACCTGCGGCCGCTGCCTGCAGACCTTCCCACTGGAGGCCATCATCGCTTTCATGGACCACAAAAAACTGGGCTGTCAGCTCCTCCAGGGCGTCGGCCCCATTTCAGGTAATTTCAGTGCAATGCCCCCTCTGATCCAGGGTTGGGCTTCCTGCCCTGCGGAGAGGGGGCTAAGGTGGACAGATGGGGCACCGAGCATTACTTCCCCTTTCTCCTTGCTCCCCTTAGGGTAGAACCTAGGCGTGGCCTGGGCTTGTCTGTCCTAGGGCAGGGACTAGAGGTAGAGCGGGGGCTGGGCAGCGGAGGAAGGCCACCCACAAGGTGTGGCCAGCCCCAGAAGACCGGCCCGGGGTTTTGCCATACACCCTCCATTTAGTTTCACTTCTCCTTCCCCACGGACAGAAATAACTGGCCAGGTGGCTGGACCAGGGTTGGCAGTAGAGGGACCTGGAGGAGGTGGGGACAGTGGCCTCTGGGAGAGAGTTGGAGGCCCGCACCCCTGCTGTGTTTCGGTCCTTCTAATCAAGACAGTTCAGAGGCAGGGTAGGGGGCTTCTGGCGTGTTCCGTAGCTGGGATCTCCCAGCTAAGAGCTGGGAAACCCCTAGTCGGAGCGCTGGATACTCCAGAGTCGTATATATGAAAGAGGAATTCAAACTATGTGTGATACTTTGTCGTGAGTGGTCGCAAGATTTAGGTACTTGATCCGATCCGAACTTGAATTTCCAGCCCCAGCTCCTGCTGTGCCCGGCTGGAACTTGGAAACTAGAATAATATTTAGGGATGGGCCAGGGAGGTCTGTAATCCAATCAGCTTTAGTTGAGGGAGGAGCTAAAGTGGACTTACTAGAGCAGGACCCCAGCACTGAGTAGTGGGCACTTGGTGTGTGGAGAGTTTAGCCTTTTAGACAGGGTCTCGCCTTCACCTAGACAGCTGGTATTACTAGTATTAGAGGCCTGGATAGTTGTAGGTGCTCTTGTTTGAGACACGGTCTCTAAATAGCCCTGGCAGACCTGAAACTTAAGTAGGCCAAGTTGGGTTCCAACTTAGAGATCTGCCTGCCTCTGCCTTCCCAATGCTGGGAGTAAAGGTGTGTGCCACCACCCTGGCTCAGCTGTGGATCTTTTGGTATCTGTGGCTCATCTTATGTTTGAGGGCTTATAGATAGGGACCAGGACTCTCAGCTGTTCCCTATCTGAAGTTATAATCCTGGAAGGGGCCCCTCAGATTTCTATGCTCCAGCAACTTGGGAAACTGAGGCTTGAGAGGATAGGATAGGTCTTGTCCAGGATTATGCAGCTAAGGACGGTCTTCAGTTTAACAGGTTTCTGCTTGACTTTGGTCTGGTATGGTACCATCAAGGCTCCTATCCAGGGTCTGGTTCTTGAGTGGCTCTAGGAAGTGTCCTGTGGTTGTGTACTAGGGAAATTTCATATTTGGAAAGCAGAGGCTAGCCCACCTCCCCGGAGTAGGCAGCTGTCTGTGTCAGGCCCCAGCTCTGAGGTTTCAGCAGATCTGCTTTTGGAGCTCCTGTCCCTAATTTTCCAGTGTCTCGCTTACCTCCCCTTACTATGAAACAGAAAGCCCTCTTCACAGTTGAGGAAGTTTCCAGAGAGCAGCATCTGTGTCTCTTTCTCAGTGAAGGAAGATGCTGGCCTGGTTGGTACTGCTAATCATTCTACCAGCACTGACTTCCTGCCCCCTCTTCCCCTTTCTAGAATCCAAGGAGATGAAGGCTCTGAGCTGTCTGCGATGTGGCAGACAGTTCACTGGAGCTTGGAAGCTGCTATGCCATGCCCAGTGGGATCATGGGCTATCCATCTACCAGACAGAATCTGATACCCCAGAGTCCCCACTGCTGGGCCTGGCTGAGGTAGCTGCAGCCGTGTCGGCGGTGGCAGTGGTAGGATCAGTTGAGGACAAGCCCCCCACAGTGAGTAGTGCGGCCCGGCGGAGCCCCACTTGCTTGGTGTGCAAGAAGACCCTCAGCTCTTTCAGCAACCTCAAGGTCCATATGCGTTCCCACACTGGTGAACGACCCTACGCCTGTGACCAGTGTCCCTACACCTGTGCTCAGAGCAGCAAGCTCAACAGGCACAAGAAGACCCACCGACAGCTGACACCTGGGAGTCCCTGCACCCCTGCTACCAACAGGGGGGTCTCCCCAACAGCCCCTCCAGAACCAGCTGACCATGCAGCTGCTCCAGCCAGCACACTCCCACACCAGGAGGTGGAGAAGGCTGGAGCTGCAGCCACAGCAGGAATACAGGAACCTGGGGCCCCTGGCAGTGGGGCTCAAGCAGGCCCAGATGCTATGGACTGGGGAGCCACTGCCAAAGTACAAAGGACTGACCCTATAAAGAGTGAGAAGCCAACACCCAAGAAGACCCCCAAGTCGACAGGCAAGAGCCGCGGACCTGGGAGCAGCTGTGAGTTCTGCGGGAAGTACTTTGCCAACAGCAGTAACCTGACAGTACACCGGCGCTCACACACTGGTGAACGGCCCTATGCCTGTGACCAGTGTCCTTACGCCTGCGCCCAAAGTAGCAAGCTCAACCGCCACCGCCGCATGCATGGTCTGGGACCTGGCAGTCCCCGCTATGAGTGCCCACACTGCTGTGTGCCATTTGGCCTCCGAGCCACACTGGACAAGCACCTGTGGCAGAACCATCCAGAAATGGTCTGAGTAGTTCTGTCATCTCTTCATCCTTCCCATTATGTGAATAAATCATCTTGTATTTATTCCTGTGCCTTGACTCTGGCTTTCTTGGGGTGTCTGAGGTGGGAGGCTCCCCCTCCATAGTGTGGCTGGCTGGACAGACCGGTTTGGAGTGGGGGTGAGTGCCCTGGGCACTGGAGGACTGGCACAGAAAGCCGTGCTCCCGGTTCTTGGGTTCTTGGTGTGGGTGAGGCCAGGGGCCGGGCAAGGGCAAGGAGAGGCCTGGACCTGTCACCAGAGGCCCCTGGGCGCAGTCCAGTCCTAGCCCGTCATCCACTGGCCCTGTCCGCACATGCCACAGCCTGAGCCCTTGACTGGATTGGCCCCTGCCTCCTAAGCAGGCCCCCCTCACCACACCCCGCAGGCTAGGCCGCACCTGCGGCAGTCCTCAGCTGTATGTAGCCTGCAAGTCCCACCTACTCAGAGGACAGCAGGCAGCAAAGGGCATTAAATAATGTTAGCTTTTATTTCACTACAGAAACCCAGGGCATGGCAGTCCCCACTCAGTCCTCCGCCTAATGCCTGTAATGGGGGCTTCGGGACCTGGACCTCGAGCGCCTGCAGAGAAGGGAGAAAACTATGAGGGTGGGATGCTGGGAACCTCTCCCATGCACACATGCACCAACAGGTCTGGAGACTGGGCTGCTGAGGGAAGGAGGAGTGTCTTCCTCAGGGAACAAATCCAGCCACACCAAATGAAGAGGCAAAGGAAACTTAGATCCCTGGTAGCTGGACCAGTAGCCTCACCTTCGAGAAGAACTGTACTCTCGACCTGAAAGAAAAAGAGTGATACCAGTCAGCGTCCACTGGCCATCTTGGAGCCCTTGCCTCCTGCAGGCCACCTCTGCCAGGATGAAGCCCCTCCCCACATTCTCAGCTCAGATGGGGCACCTGCAGTCTGTGTGTGCCTCAAGCAAGGTCCTACTGTTGTTTTGAGACTGGGTCTCACTATGTTGCCTTTGGCTAGCCTGAAACTGGCTGTGTAGACCAGACTGGCCTCAAACTCAGAAACTCAGATCTTTCTGTCTTCCCAGTTTCTGTCAAACTGTCTAGTACTTTTTTAAACAATAAGATGAATTCCCCGCGTGGGCTGCTCCCAAACAACAAAACAAGTAAGCCTCTTATGTGAGACTCCACAGTGCTTTTTTTTTTTTTTTTTGTGGTACGTGTATATGTGGTGTGTGAATTTGGCTGGACTTTCTTGCCCCACTCTCCTGACTGCCAGGTCAGAACTATTTTCTTCCTTTATTTAAAGCAGGATTTCTCCAGGTAACCCTGGTCTCTCGCCCTCTAGCCCTGGAGTGCTGGATTTCAGGTAAGTACCACCACACCCAGTTTTTCTAATGGTCCTGACTCTCCTGTAGTAATGGTGGGCCAAATACTCACTGTAGCGTGGGGAGGGTGAGCGACTCTGGCGGCTGTACTGGCGTTCCCACTCTTCTCTCTCCTTCTCTCGTCGCTCGCGCTCCCTACAGGGGGAGAGGGGAGGCAACCAACAGGGAGGAGTGAGCACCTGCGGGCTGTAGGCACCTGTCCCTGCGCAGGCTGAACTGCCCTGTATCTGCCAGGAAAGTCAGGCCTAACATGCTCCTATCCAGTGAGTAGCAGCATACACTGAGGCTCAGGCAGGAATGAGGCAGTGAGGGGAAGCACCAGAAGTCAACATAGCCAGCCAACATAAACCCAATCTCAGTCCCTGGACTCAGAGGGTTTTGTCTGTGTAGCTCAGATTGGCCTTGAATTTAGGATCCTCCCCTGTGCTGCAATCACAGGTGGGAAACACCAGGCCTGGCCTCTTTCTCTACCTGACAGCAGCCTCTGAAGGTGCAGTGCATAATGACATGCGACAGGACAGCTCAGGATAGCGCTGTGTCGCTAATGATGACCCGAATTCCATCCTCAGGTCCTACACTGGAAAGAGTCCTGATATCTGGAGTTTGTCCTCTGACATCCACATATGTGCCACTGCATGTGCCTTGCAGGCTTGCTCACTCTCTCCTTCCCTCTCCTTCTCCCAGCGAGCCAGGCATGGTGTTTCATGCCTGTAGTCTCAGCACTTGGGAAGATAAAGCAGGAGGATTGCCATGAACTCAGAGATACCCTGGCGACATAGCGAATTCCAGGCCACCGAAAAACCCTATCTCAAAAAAAACCCAAAAAAACCAAAATCCAAAAGCCAAACATATATGTATATATGTACAAATGTGTGTGTGTGTGTGCATGTGTGTGTGTGTGCATGTGTGCATCTATTTTTAGAAAATGAGAAAGCAGGAGCGGCAGCAGGTTCCCCCACAGCCCAGGAGGTCACATGTCTAACTACAGAGACAGGGGCCATTCCCATCACTGCCCCACAGAGAAAGGCAGCCCAGCTCAGAGAGAGCAAAATGTCAGCTCCCCATCCCTGACTGGCTCCCCTCCTTGCCTTGTTACACAGTGCTTCAGCCCAGGCTTTTCCTAAGGGCCCCAGGCAAATTGAGGACTTGTGTACTAATCCCAGCTGTCTAGTGCGGTGAGTGTGGTGGGCACCGAGGGGCTGACCCACTTCAGGCTCCACCAGATCAGAGAGACTTAAGACAAAACTTGATCTAGGCCCAGGACTCTGACCACAGCCCAACATATAACGCAGGAAAAGAAAGGCGAAAGGAAAAGCCCCTAACCTAAGAGACCTACCATGGGGTGGGCTTCACTTTACCACTTATTAAGCATCAAACACCAAGGACACAGTTGTCAGGTGTGGGGAGGCCAGAAAGTATGGGGATGCTGTTCATTCATGAGGTCAGAAGGTGAGGGGAGTAGGCCATCAGGAAGAGCCACCCGAACATGAGGACAGCAATGGGCTGGGGAAACCAATGAAAGGAGGGGGAGAGGAGCCTCCTGCAGCAGGGTTGCCTCGACCACAGGCCAGGGCCTTACTTCATTCTGATCTTTCGGGCCATGGCGCGCAGCTCATCCTCCCGCTCCTACAGCAGAAACAGCTGTGAGGGGTGGCTCAGCCCCCACTGCACCCCAGAGCCCCACCCCTCTGAGCCTGGCCTGACCTGGCGCTCATGCTCCTGTTGTATCATCTTCTCCTGAGCTGCCTTCTTATCCGCCTTGACTGTGGAGGAAGGATGTGGGGCTGAGGGCTGTGCTCAGGGTCTCCACACCACCACCCGACCTGCTCAGGCAGGCTCAGAGGTCATCCCCACTTTCCCCCACAGCTCAGGCTGGACTGGGGAGGAGGGACTTACACTGGCGATTCAGAGCCTTCTGCATCCGCAGCTTCAGCCTCTCCTGTGGGGTCAGCTTGGGCTGCGGGAGAAGGGGTGGGATAGGCGTGGGTGCCCAGAGTTCGCCCAGCCCACCTCAACCAAGAGCCTGGGACTTGGGGGCCAGCTGGAGCCCCATGGGAGGCAGGGATGGGACTTAGCTTGCCTGGGTAGCCCCTCCCCAGAGTAGTCCCTGGGCTGGTTCTCCCCTCCCCCTGGGCCCCCTGCAGGCCCACCGGGCCCAGCTCTGGACACTGCTGCTGACAGGAATTAGACGGGCGAGTTCCAAATTCTTACTGACTTTGGCAGCTCCTGTCTCTTTACCAGCGGCAGGTTCGGTCCTGGGTGGGAGGAGATGGGAGTGCTACCCTTACCATGGGCCTCAGGACTGCCATCAGCCATGGGCTCCAGAACCTTCAGGATGTGTTCCTGACCCATAGAACCTAGGTGGGATCACATCCCTCTCTAACAGTTTACCCAAGCTGAGGCCACGATGGCAATGTCTCTATATGGCAGTGCGCACACCTCCCAAGGTATCATCACATTTCCCACAAAATGAACCCAGTGGGGACGCCCTCAGCTACAGCCAGGCCCCTACTCACTTTTTCAGCTTCTCGCCCACAGCAGGGGACGCTGCTGGCCTGGTCAGCTTCTCCCTTGGGGGCGATGGCGAGTGACTCTGGCTCTGGCTGCGGCTGTGGCTTCTGCTCCGGCTCTGGCTTCGGCTTCCACTACGGGTCAGACTGCGGCTTCGGGAAGGGCTGAGGGACCAGCTGCTGCGGCTACGACTGCTACTATGGTGCCTGGGACCTCGGGCACCCCGCTTATAGCGGTCACCTGAACGGGAGCGGCTCCTAGGTGTAGCAGAGAAGGATTGTCACCCCAATTTCCAAGTCCATGGGTTGAGTATGTTCAGTCCACTTTTCCCCTCCCCCATACTTCCCTCCAAAAGCCCCTGCTGCTCCCTGGGCACATTCTAGAACATGAGTATGCTGGACACACTTCTCTATCTCATGGGACACCCAGGTGCTAACTTCCGGGGGTGGCTGGCCCAGCTCAGGGCACTCAGTGACCCCACTTTGCTCCACACCTGTGGCGCTCCCTACCCCACACATTAGCCAACACCAGCACATAAGCCCTGGACAGGCTGCACAGTCCCAGAGTTTCCCCACTTGGGGTACTAGTGAACAGTCTCAGGCTGGCATCCAGTTTGTGATAGGCTGTTTCCCTCCCCAGCCTTTCTCCTATGGTCGGGCTACAGAAAAGATTCAAAAAGATACAACTTCAAAATATGTAACAAATCTGCCCGGGCTGACTAGTGCTTGTCGTCAGTACTGAGTGACCACAGCCATCAGGAAACACATACTCTCAGCCTCTCTAGAGCAACAGGATGAGGGAGCCAGGACCGTGCCTGGCAGTTACAGCTCCCACAGGTGGATGGATGGCACTATGACTGATACACACCAGCAGACTGGCAGCAATACGGCGACATTACATATCATAAATAGGGTCAGGGTCTACCCTCAACACTTACACTACGCCTGTTCTACGAAAGAACAAACTCCAGCTGGGTCAGTAAGCCTGCCTCTGCTTCTGAGCTCTCCCCCACCAAACCTAAAAGCAGCCACAGCCCATACTCCACTGCCCCCTGGGAACCCGACCCTTCCACAAAGGTTATAGCCCCACCCACCAGATTCCCAGGTCCCGCAGACTGGATAGTCCAGGCAGAAGTCAAAGAGACACCTCCATGTTCAGTGTCCCTGAAGGATGATCAG